AATGCTTATGTTATTTCATTATTTATCTTGTATTAATAGATGGACATGGAGAGACAAATAGCTCTTATTCATGCCAATGAGGAAGAGGAAAATGTGGCTATGGTATTTTTCTGTATGGTAGAGGGGTATAAAGGATTTTTTACATTGGAATAGGCCATGTAGAAACAATGCATTACATGGTCATGATTATATTATTGAATTAATTCATGGTCATAAGTCAAGATGTTATGAGATGTTTAGAATGAAGAAACATGTATTCTTGAATTTATGTGATGAATGAAAAAAAAAATGAAAAAGCTATACTTTAGGTATCTTTCAATTAAAGAACAACTTGCAATGTTTCTTTATATTTTAACTCAAAATGAGAGGATGCACATTATGGCTGAGAGATTTCGGCACTCTAGATGGACAATGTCTACTTATTTTCATAAAATGTGAAAGCAATATGTGATTTAGGGATGCGGATTATTACCCCATCAAACTTAGACAAAGTTCCACAAGAGATATTACATAATCCAAAAGTTTATCCTTTCTTTAAGGTTAGCCTCATATTATCATTGTTTTATTATCTATAACAATTTATAATATTGGTACTCATGTGTATATTGTTATAATTTAGGATTGCGTTGAGGCTATTGATGAAACAAATATTGGTACTCATATGTATATCTGCTTTTGTTCATTTGGATGAACAAATACCATATTGTGGTAGGAATTCAAACACTACCACGAGTGTAATGGCTGTATATTCATTCGACATGTTGTTTACTTTTGCTGTGGCAGGTTGGGAAGGTATAACAAACGATTTTAGGATGTTTATGGAGTGTGTGAACGATAGAAAAAATAAATTCCCACGACCACCTAAAGGTATATAATAAATAATATAATTGATATTTAGCTTTATTTGTGTCAATGATAAGATAACTTACTAAGGTAGTTATCTATTTGTAGGGAATATTATCTACTAGATTCCGGATATGCAAACCAACTTAGTTATTTGACACCATATCGGGGGTGAAAGATACCACGTGCAAGAGTATAGGGCCATTGGAAGGCAGCCCAATGGTCAGGAGGAATTATTTAACTATAGGCATTCCTCTCTTAGAAATGTGATTGAACGCTATTTTTGTATGGTAAAAATGAGATTTTCAATATTCAAACAAATTTCTCCTTTTAAATTAGGTTGTCAAAAATATATTGTCATTACTTGTTTTAACCTTTATAATTTCATTTGAAAAGAGACATATAAAGACGCACTATTTTCCATGTATAGGAACAATGATTATGTTGATGGAGTGGAAGAACAATGTAGTAGACGTCGAAGAAGGCAGAGACTTGATGTTAGTTAAAATCGACTACGTGCATCAAATGAGTTGCGTGATTCAATTGCTGATGCACTATGTGATGATAATCATTGATGTCTCTTTTTGTTGTAATTTTATTAGGGACATGTATGGTTATGCGAACTTTATGTGCAATTTATTTATTAATTAGACCTTTTTATTTTGGACTTCTACGAATCCTTTTGCACTGATGGAAACAGAGTTATTAGATGGATCCTTTTGTTTCTAAATGTTGCCTTTTGTTTGTGGATGTTGAATTGAAAGGCATGTTGTGCAATTGTTTAAGCAAGATATATGTAATGCAATGAGTTGTTTTGGAGTGTTGATATGTGTAATATTTATGATATGTCATACATATATATATATATATGTTAAAAGATTTTTTTTTTTGTTAGCTGTGGGGCCCACTTTACTGCAAGGCATATATGGTTAATAGGATTGCAGACCCATTTCTCTCATCTCTCATCTCTCTCGCAGCCTTTCTATCTCCTTCTCTGTTTTCCTTTTTCTTTTCTTTTTCCCACAAGCTTCCACTCTTGATTTCTCCCTCATTTCTTAGTGTTTTTAAGAGCCATTTTTGGCTATTCGAAGCCCACGACAAGATAAACAAGTTGATAGGAGCAATTCCTTGGTTGGTGCATTATGGAGATTCAAAAATTCTAGGGTTTGAGGTGAAAATTAGGGATTTTGCATAAAATTGAGGTAGAGGTGTTTAATCCACAATCTCTTAGATTTTGGTGAATTATTTTTCATAGTTTGTGTTCTAATTTGTGTTATTTTCATATTTGTTATATGTTATATATGAGATGTGTATATATACATGTTAGTTGTTATGTGATAAAGGACCATATTAAATTGATGTTAAATTTCATGCCTATATGCTGAATTTTATGATTTTAAAGTATGATGTAAATTCCTAGAATATTCCTATGAGGCATGTATATTGTAAATATTTGACTTGTAAGAAATAAAAATTTCTTTATTGGTACGTCATTGAAATGCATAAGACATATATACATTCATTGGGAAAGAATAGGAAAAATTGATTTGAAAGAAATGAAATAGATTTTGGGAAAGAATTTTGAAAATGATTTTTGTGAAAAACCCGGCCGCCTAGGAGTTGCCTAGGGACCCTGGCGTTAGTGAGGCCTAGAGGGGAATAAGGAGATCGCCCTAGTGTGGTTGAGTTACCTTGCCCCAAATGATGTCATGGAGTTGCCATGGGTCAGGGACAGTGGCCAATCCTCCTCTCGTGCCGCCATGGAGTTACCATGGGACGGATTCACTAACGATTTGAAAATGATAATGGAAATGGTTTTGGAAAATGGGGAGTGACATTGCATGGCATGGCATGACATATCATTGCATGGCATATTCATTTGTGGTATCGGATTAATGACGTGGCATGGTGGTTATATATATATTTTTTTCCCGACATGGTATGATCCTAATTTCTTTATTCCTATTCATGGTGTGGATTCATGGAGTCTAAAAATGTGTGTCTTAGGCACTTCCTACGGAGCTTATACTCACCCCTTCATTTTAAAATTTTTCAGGAAACGGGAAAGAAATGGTGGATGACGTTCCACCACAGGCTTAAATTGGATCAGAAGAGCTTTTTGTTATTTTTGTATTTAAGTCCCACTATTTTTGTAAAGCTTAGCATATTGTATTCTGTACTGAGACTTATAGACTTTTGCTATTGTAGTTATATTCATGGGCTGTAATTTTATTAGAAGTCATGGACGTTGTAAGACATGTACGTTTGAACTTAATTATATTTTTGGGATTGTACTTATGATATTTGAATTAAATAGCACGTAATTGTTCCACCATAAACTGAACTATGTTGAGATATAATGAATGGATGAACGGGATGTTGAAATATAATATTTATATTGCGTGTTGGGACAGGTTGGATAAGTATTGAAGGCCCAAGAGAGGTTATTGCATTTTTTTGCGTTTAAGCAAGTGGTTGTAGGATCCCTTTTTAGCAGAGGCCATGCCGAACTTTTTATTATTATTATTTAAATAGTATCGGTTTAGGGTCGTTACAATATGGCTTGCTTACAGACAAGAATCATATTAAAAAATCATGTGAAAATAGTAGGGATAGATAAAATGAGGATGTAAGGCGAATGAGTTTTTGACAAATTAGAGAATGATTAATAATGAAATTAAAATTATGAGTTTTTTTTTTTTTTTGCAAAATTTTACCAAACACGTTTTCTCTTTTCAGTTTTTAAAAATTCAAACAGCATATGTACGTTACCAAACATATTTTGTTTTGACATAAATGGCAGCATAACTTTTTAAAATTTGCCATTTAAAAAAAAATGAAACCGCAGCCAAAATTGAAAACCATAGCTTTACCAAACAGGACCTAAGTGCATTGAAAAATATATTTGCGTCAATTTTTACATAGACATGTACAAAATATATTAAAAATTAAATCCTATCATATAGTCTATATATCCGACAAACTTTCCAGTTTTCTATACAAAGAGGTCTAAAGTAGGTGACTCTCAAAATCTCACAAATAGAATGAGGCCAATTTAAAATTCAGTGGTCTTCAACAATATTATAGTATTAATCAATTAATTTGAAGGTTATTCTTTGCATTGGATTCATAGGGAAGCAATAATTTGACTAAAAGCAATTTTTCTTGTTAATGGTGTTTGAATTCATTGATGATGCTTTGTAATTTATTTACCTCTTGATAAATAAATTATACTTTGCTAGGAATACGAAAAAATAATCAAGTATGACTTGAACATTGGATGAAGGTTCTATTAATGGGTAGTTTGATGGGCAAAAAATCATGTAGATTTGGAGAAGCCAATTACAAGTTTATGTAAACTTGCGGGGGCTAAATATAAATTTAGTGAGATTTAATACTTGAAGAGGGGCACTTTGTGAAATTTTATAAAATTTGGGGGCCATGGCCCCCCTTGGTGAATGGTGTTGCTTATGCTTGTGGTTAAGTGTATTCTACTCAGGATTCGTATAATTGATTTATAAATAAAATAATAAAATAAGTTAGCAATTAAAATAATAATCCTATTCTACTCATAATTTTTAAAAAATAATTAAAATAATAATAGGTGTTTCAAATCATTGGTTTTTTTAATTATAATTTTTTATATTTAATTCTCTTATTTATGCAATTTCCTCTATTTTTATTTATTGATGTTGATTTCTTTTTAATTTTTCATGATTGTGATGGAGTTGTTATGAGCCGTTCCTTTGGTCCAAGTCCTAATTAATTGAAAATAAATTATTATTATATGCGTAAACTAAAAAAAAATAAAAATTTAAATTTCTTTGCAAAAATAAGATTAAAAATTTAAAATTAATTTCACTGGAATAGTAAGTACGTCAACCATTTGAATTTATTTTACACCCAAGCCCAACAATCCAAACCAGCCCATTCGTTATATATTTTATCTTTTGAAAAATAAAAGTAACCCAACAACCCAGCCCAGCCCAACCCAACCCAAATTGATATCATTTTTCTATCTTGAAAATAAAAATAGCCCAATCCATTCCTTAATTCCCAAGCCCATCTCCTTCCACCCCTTCTAAACCCTAAACTAATATTCTTCTCTCTCCATTCTTCCGCAAACCAAATCCCAACCCTTCAAGCGACTCTGCAAATTGTTCAGGTTAGTGATATTTTTATCTCTGATAGTAGAGAAGCCTCTTCATATTGGCATATTGTTCGAAATCGAAGGTTGGATTCGGATATTAAACACGGAAGATCAATGGGTATATATTTACTCAGTTTCATATATGCACATCGAAATCGGGGAGTGGGATTTTGGAGATTATGGAAGATTGTGGAAGATGCTTGGGTATTAATAGATTCATATATGCATATATATATATATACACATACATATATGTATATATATATGGGTATATGTAAACGAGCAGCCGAGCTCGGCTCGAGCACCCGCCGAACCGAGCTCGAGCATCCATTTGCTGTGACGAGCCGAGCCCGAGCACCTCAATACTCGGCTCGTCTCGTTTGCAGCCCTTTCCACTAGAGTACTAGGTCTAAATAATATATAAGGGCGTTTATACTTCTAAACTTGTAGGGTTTCTCTGATTTCTATCATTTGGTCTCTCTAGTTTGCTCTCTTTGATTTGTATCGTTTGCCTGCATCTGGTCCAAGCACAGAGATGCTTGAGGTGTACAGGGGAAGCTCTGTCGGGTGGAAGCCGTCACCCGTTGTCGCGTTAGCCACCAGTGCCGACGACTGTCAAGTAGCCGCCGCCCGCGAAGATGGATCTCTGGAGGTTTGGTTGGTCTCCCCGGGCTCCGTTGGTTGGCACTGCCAATTGGTATATATATATTTCAATCATAGTGGTATATTTAGTTGATTTAATGATGTTGTATGTTTTGGGTATTTTTTCCAATCATAGTGGTGTATTTAGTTGATTTAATGTGGCTATGTTGTGGTTGGTGACGGCTTAGACTATACATGGAAACACCAATTCCAGAGTTTCATCCCTCGTTTGGTGCCCGTCCAGCTCAAAAGGATTGCCGTGTGGTCGCTTGTTTTCTTCCAGCATAGATGGTTCAGTGTCGGAGTGGGACTTTTTTGATTTGAAACAGAAGGTATGTGAATAGCGTTGTTGTAGTTGTGTGTAGTTACAAAATAATTTTGAAAAATAGATCACATAAGAATATGCATTGAATTACCTGCAAAAAGCTCAATATCTTCATCTTTCTTTACCAAAATGTAAAAGGATTAAAAAAGGAGAAAAAGAAAAAAGAAAAGCTAAATGAGAATCGGTTCCATGAATTCTCTTTTCATTTTTTATGGAACACTATTATTGTTATTAGTTTGTAGAATATGACTTTTCTTGTTACTTGTGAACTTGATTGCTGCTTGGGCAACCACCACAAGTCTTAGACCGAAATTGATCTTTCAATATTATATGAAATGAATCTAATATGATTGATATGAATAATAGTCCTTTAGCATATGTTTTCAAGCTAATCATCTGTTTTTGAGTTCTGGGATAGTCAGACTCTGCAACAATTACCATTATTTTTTTAGTTTTGATACAAAGCCCGACAACCGACTATTGCTACTACTCACAGCACTGTTCTGAGACTCACTAATACAGTGAGTAGTTGCAACACCCGAGTCGGTCATTTAATGCTATGTTTGGAAGCACCAAACTGGTGCATTGGGTTTAGTTCAACATGCATTTAGAAAATTAAATGTTCAAGCATTTCTCTTCTAATTTATGCTTTATAGTAGTTGCATCCTTTATTTTCATCAATAGTCTTGCTATCTTAGCTTTTGGCTTCCGGTTGCAGAATTACTTATATGTTAGTGATATGAGTTGATTAACCTAAGTGTTGCTCTGGTGCTTGTTTAATTTGTTTCAGTATAATATAATGTAATATGAAAAGAGTAAATTGGGACAATACCACGTGCAATGTGATGCGCTGACTGTATTCACACAACACCAATTCAAAATTGTAATGATCCAACAATAAATATATGCATAAACTATATTGGAGGTAGGTGGTTTAAAATTATGTCAGTGAGTATTGCTTGAATAATGTTCATTATTAAAGTTTTAATTAAATTTTTTTTTTTATGATCAGTTGTTATTGATGGCGGCCACATTGGTCGCAAAAATAACCTACCAACCATATAACTATGCTTCAAATGGCACCCTCCAACTGAAAAAACGAGATGCAATTGTAAACCGATCATTCATACTCTTTGACTATACTGGATTTGTTGCATCAGTGGCTCTGATTATATTCCTTCTCCATAAATTCCCACTGAAACTCTCATTCTCATAGTTTTGACTCTCAACGAAAGCCCTACCATGGAGGAGGATGTGTCAATGCTGGTCCCACTGCGAATGTTGATACATGGATATGGCGGCGAAGTCTCTCCCAACCACCATTAGGTGGTTGTGACCACTACCACCTCCAGTACCTCACGCTTTAAACAAAAGTCGATTCCTAGCATTTATAAATCTTTTGCTGCCCTCTTTTTTGGGATGAAATGAAGCGACTTTCTTAAAACATCATGACATTCACATACAATATGAAAACACAACACATTTATACTTATGAGGGGTTTGAATTTTTTAGTGGGCAATTTTTGAAATGTGTAAAAAAAAAATAAAAATACTTTTCTTCTTACAAATTACTGAACTGTATAATCTAGTAGGAGCCCTTATTACCATTTATAACCACTACTCCAACAAAAATACCAACCAAGATTATTTTCTCCATTGAAAAAGAAGAAGGGAGTCGATGAATGTTGAAACAATTGAAAAAACTTCGGTATTTTCGACATGGAATCAATTGTTCCACAGTACTTTTCTTTAAGAGATGCTTTTCATTGCCAAAATATCAACACGAAGTGTCTCTTGAAATAGATTAATTTAAGACAGTTTTTTTATGATGCCTAAACTAGTGAATCGTGTTTTATTGTACGTCCATATTGATAATATCTTTGAATTCAACTGACTGGCATAATAATAATAATAAAAGCAAAATTATTAATCGCTTTTGTTGTTTTGTTGGTTGTAACACAGTAATAATGGAAAGTAATATTCAATTGACACAAGTTTAATATTCATTTTGACTTATCAAAAAAAAGTTTAATATTCATTTTGAACAAGAGGACTAAGGCGACCATGTACATTAATTTTTTCTTTATGCATATTAACCTTTCCTTGTCTCATTTTTGGGGATTATTTTTTAATAAACACAGTTCATCTTGCAGATTGTGCTAGATTCCATTGGGTTCTCGATTTGGCAGATGGCTGTGGCACCCCACAATAGTTTGCTGCTTCATACAAAGCAAGGCAGCAAGCTTATGCAAAATGGGCATGCTAATTATATGCTTAATGATCTCAATGATCATGAGACTAGTGAAAGTGAAAGTGAAAGTGAAGACGATGCTGACTCAGTTGATCTTCATGAACAACCGAGTACTAGTGATGGTATGCGTGTAGCACTTGCTTGCGATGATGGTTGTGTGCGAATATACATTATTTCTGACTCAGACAAGTTAATTTATCATAAATCGATGACAAGAGTCAGTGGTGAGTGTCAAATGACTTTGTTTGTTATTTAACGTGTTAACTGTTACAGATATAATTTTTTCCATGCTATAATTTGTAGGGCGCGTCTTATGCGTGGCCTGGAGTCCTGATGCAAAATTCATATATTCAGGGAGTAGTGATGGGTATGCATAATTGGCTAGATGTTATAAAAATTTTTTATCGTCTTTGATTGCTAAAAACTCTGCTGCATGCTTCCCATAAAATACTAGTATTACCTTACCGTTTTGGTTGTTTTTTTTAAGTATTCAATATTACAAAACATCTATTTTCATTGTTTTTGTGGTTTATATTTTTAAATTTCTCAAGTACACGATGGAATTTTTCAGGTTCATCAGATGTTGGGATGCTAAATTGTCTCATGAGGTCTATAGAATAACAGTTGGGCTTGGAGGTTTAGGCAGTGGACCTGAACTGTGCATATGGTCACTACTTGCACTGAGGTAAGTGGTCCTTTTCCCCCTGGTACCATGGCCCTTATTTGGTCTATCTTACATAACATTTAGTTTTGTTGGAATCAGGTGTGGGACCCTTGTCAGTGCAGATAGTACTGGTAGTGTTCAGTTTTGGGACAGTCAGCATGGATCCCTTTTGCAGGCACATTCTTGTCACAAGGGTGATGTCAATGCTCTTGCAGCAGTTCCTGGTCATAACAGGGTGTTCTCTGCTGGTTCTGATGGTCAGGTATGGGGTATTTGTTTATTTATTTCCACAATACTTATTATTAGTCAAAAACCCCTGGCTCAGCGGGTAAGACAAATAATCAACAGATGGTGCTGAATTGTTTTGTTGTTTTCGTTGTTGCTAATTTTTATGATGCTTCTTTTGTCAAATTGTTTTGCATTTTTTTTTCTTCTAATTATTATTCAGTTGTTATGTGAGAGTTTTCTGCTTTTTCTTATTGCCTTCCTACATCTTATGTTATCCTGTGTTCAATTGAGATGCCTGTAACTGAATACTTTACTGGGCAGATAATGTAGTCCACTTGAGAATAACCCTGACCATTTAGGTCATTGGTAAGCAAATATATAATAGGAAGCTTTTGAATACTTTATTGGACAATGGCTCGAGTCTAACTAGTTTATTGTGACTTGTCTCAAATTCACACAGTTTGAATGAGTCACTGAAAACTTCTGTTCCTCTTCAAATGATTCTGTTACATGTCGTACATTTTAGGTGTGTTGGGATGAGTGAGTTTAATTTAACTTGGTGAGTGAAATGAGTGGGTGTCACCTAGCTTGCATTGTGCTCACAACTACTGGGCTGGCCTTAGGGATAAAGCTTGTCTACTATGTTATGAAATGCTCAAGTTATATCCAACTCTGTAAAGTCGAATTTTGCCGCAGAGCTCAGGGTACAATTTTCTATTATTAGCCAACGGTCTTTGAAGAAAAATTAGCAATGTTAGCTGGAGCAAGTGCGGTATAGTTTGAGAGGATCATGTTCATCTCAGAAAAGATCTTTTCAGCTTGTCATAGGGGAAGAGAAAAAAGGGGGAGTGGGGGTGTTAGGAAGTGAAGGATTCTATGCCTTAAAACTTTGACAATTCGGAGGAGAGTATCATCATGAATGTTACTGCAATAAATTGGAGGTTCTACAGTTTAATTATTTAATAATTAGAGTGTAGAATGTCCTATATTGTGGCTAAAGAAGGTCCAAGGGGATTACTAGTAATGCAAAAGCATAGGTTGTGAGAATAAAAAAAAATGGCTTGTCATTTACAAAATTGCCTCAATGAAATTTTTTGTTTTTGTCTAGATGAATTGGAATGGCTCGAGGGACTGGTGTATAGTTATTAAAGGCTCACGACACACTAAGGCACTAAGATCTTCTAGACTCTAAGCCAAGGTGCAACATAAGGCGTTTGTCTAATTGAAGTTGGGCACGGGAAACAAAATTAAGTATGAAATATGAGTATAAAAAAAAAAATTGAAATACGCGAAAATTTTCAGCATATCAATTTAATGGATTCTTCATCATCATCAACATCCTTATCTTTGTCCCATTGAGATAGGGTCAAGCACATGAATTCTCTTTTTATATTCTTTCCTATTATAAATGTTTGACTTTTCTCTCTCCTCTTTTTTCTCTTTTTGACGTCGGAGTCTTTCACTTTGGCGTCAGCCGTTTACATTCGAGATTGTCCTACTGATTCTCCGTTCTGTTGGTAAGGAATTGTGTTATGCATCGTTCCTATCTCAGTGTTGTGACTTTACCACGTCTCAACCTTCATGGAGAAATCAAACGATGCTCTATAGGCAACGATCTAGTTTTTAGGGTTGATCATCAGAGCATCAAGGAGCGAGAATCTGCCTTGCGATCTTGTTTGGTAGGTCGCTTTGATAGAGACGTGGGGAGTATTGACGGGATCGAGGCTTGGGCGTCGAAAACTTGGAAGGTATCAAGCAGGGTGAAAGTTTCTCCTTTGCCCGACGATCTGCTTTTATTTAGGTTTCCATCGGAAGTTGAGGCCTTAAGGGTGTTGGATGAAGGGAGGAAGAGATGGGGCGAAGCTTTGTTATCCATCGACATTTGGTATTTTGCGGCTGGTTGCTCTGCTGTAAAAGAGAGAATTATACGAAGGGTGATCTTGTATGGTTTGCCTCTCCATCTCTGGTGTAATAAGCTATTTGAAGCAATCGGGAATTTATGTGGTGGATTTCGAGGTGTCGAGGCAGACGTCTCGGCGAATGGACAGAGAATCCTCCTCTATGTTTCCGTCGGAAAGATGATACCTGAATATGTCTTTGTTGAGGACCAACGTGTGGCCTTCAGGGTTACTCTGATAGAGGAAATTACACCTCGTATCCTTCCAAAATCCTACCACGGTCTTGGAGAAAGCCCTCATATCCTGGCTGTTGCAATAGCAGGTAGTCGCCGAAAACCACAGAACCACAAAGGCGTTGAAGGAAAAAGACGAGTGCCTCTTCACACGCTAGAAGCGCGTAGACGAGATAGATCCAAGACCTGTATCAATCAATCCCTCGGTCATCGCCTTTTGTTCCCTTGTAAAATCCGCGGTGGCGGATACCAAACACGTGGCCATAATAGCGGCTTTGAAGATGATCGTTATGTTGCAGATTCAGCTGGGCCAAAACGTGGATCCACAAAGGTCTATGGGCCAAAATGTGGGCCTGTTTCTTTTCAAAATAAGCCCAGCCCACATTCTTTAAGTAATCTGAAGAGAAAGGTCTTGCGGGGGCCCAATAATAAAATCTTAGTTTCTCTTATTAACTCCAAGCGCAGCCCACTTACCTCCACTGAAATAAGCCATTCACAGAGCCGTCGTTCTAACGAAACCTCTGCAACTTTCTGGAATTCACTGGAGAAGAAGAGATGGAGGGATTTTTCTGTTGCCGCGGCTGGTGGAGATCTTGCAAGGAAGGGATTGCATTACTCTCAGTGTTATGCAAGTATCTCATCTTCAACCCTCTCTGTTTCTACACAAACAAAGGGATGGATTCTCAGATCTTCATCTCGGGACTTTCACAGTGGTGTTAGATGGTCCCGAAAAGAAAAGCAGAAATGGGCTTCTTCTCCAGCTCCAGGTATGCCTTCAACTTCACATTCTCAGAGTTTTAATATTCCATCCTCTTCTTCTACCCCTTCTAGTGAGGTGTTGAGGAGTGACGGCGTTGTGACTGAAGTGGGAAAGAGGTGTGGGATATCGGTAATGGACAGTGGAAATGGCCTTATGCATGGGCCGAATATAGAGGGAAAAGAAGATAGTGTTTCTAGTGTCTCTAGGCAGCTGGAAATTACTGATTGTGCAGTCAAGAAATTTTATGAAGGGTTTACAGTCTGCGTGGGCAGAGATTTGTATTTTCAGTTATCCGATGACGAGGCTGTAGCTCTGTTCAATGAGCTTCGATTAAATGCAGCTTTGAAAGGCCTTAATTGCAAGCCTTCTGCAGTGGTTGAGGGGGATGATTTTGCAACTGATTCTGATTCTTTTTACAAGAATGACAGAGAGTTTCTAGAGGAGGCGGTTGATGATTATGGTCTTCTCCAACAGGTTAGTTCCAAAGAGCTAGCACCCTGGTTGGAGAATGGTTCTGAAATTTTAGAGGAGGAACCACTGGCCATGGTGCAACCTGATTAAGAGGTTGCTGATTCGGGAAAAGACTGGGTTGTTGACAATATAGGAGTCACTAGTGAGCTGTTGGGAGTCTCTTCAGAAGGTAATGAAGATTAGACGTTATCTATCCTTCAAGCGATTGTGGAAGGGAGAGAGGTCGTAGTGACCAATGAAGTTATGAACACGAGGCCTTTATCGTCTTGGAAAGGGGCAAGGGAGATAAAGAGTCTTAATTCTGAAGTCAACTATGAAGGGATAAGAGGAGTGGTGAAGGAAAGGGGAAGGACCAGGTGTAGGAGTCTTAAGAAGGGTGGAGGGGAGATAATTTTATCAGGTTCTTAATGAAGCTACGAATTATTACATGGACTGTTCGAGGTCTCAACGATCCGAACAAGAGAAGGGTGGTGAAGGTAGCTTTAAAGAAGTGGGGTGCCCAGGTTTGTTTGTTTACAGGAAACCAAGCTGGCATCCATTTCTGATAGGGTGGTTAGGAGTTTGTGGGGAGGTAGGTTTGTGGAATGGGAGGCTTTGAATGCCATAGGTACTTCGGGTGGGATTTTAATTATGTGGGATAGCCGATGGTTATCTAGAACGGACGTGTGGATTGAGAGATTTTCTGTGTCTTGTTTGTTTAATACGGAAGAGGACAATTTCAGATGGGTTTTCACTGGAGTCTATGGATCAGTTATTGATGATGAGCGACCCATCTTTTGGGAGGAACTTAGTCACGTTCAAGGATTGTGGTCTCTCCCTTGGTGCTTGGGAGGAGATTTCAACTTTGTCAGGTCCCCGTCAAAGAGGTTTACAGGGGGAAGAAGGTCACTGGAAATGGATCAATTTTCTGATTTTATTGATGAGCATCTTCTTGTTGATTTACCAATGGAAGGTGCAGCATATACTTGGTCGAATGGTAGGGATCCAATCACTTTGCCAAGACTGGATAGATTTATAATTTCTGGGGCGTGGGAAGAGAAATTCCTGGATGTCATTCAGGCGGTGTTAGCAAGGGTTATCTCTGCTCATGTTCCTTTGGTCTTGGATTGTGGGGGCTTGTGTACTCGAAGAACCCTGTTTAGATTTGAGAATATGTGGCTACGTGCAGAGGATTTCCAAGAGCAAGTTAGATCTTGGTGGGAGGGAGTCATTGTTTCAGGATCGCCCAGTTTCATAATCACAAAAAAGTTAAGAGCTCTCAAATTCGCTCTTAAGCAGTGGAACAAGGATGTTTTTGGGAACCTGGAATGGAGGAAGAACAGAGTCCTTGCTAATTTTTCTGAGATTGACCGTCTTGAGGAGGCGGGTGGGGATGTGGAGTCTCTACGTTCTAGGAGAGTCTCTTGTTAGGCGGTTCTTGCTGAGATTGCTTGTATGGAGGAGATATTGTGGAGACAAAAATCTCGAGCTCTTTGGCTAAAAGAAGGGGATAGGAACACAAAATTCTTCCATAGATTAGCTAACGCTCATAGAAGGAGTAATTATATTGGAAGAATTCGGGTGGAAGGTGTGGAGCTGTGGAGATAGGAGGAGGTGCGTAACGGGATTGTGTCTTTTTATCTGTAGCTTTATACCGAGTCTTTAGCTTGGAGACCTAAACTTGATGGTCTTC